ACAACGCCATTCAACTCATCTCCAATAATATTCGAAATTCAGAGTAAACCTTATCGGATACTTGTTTTTGTGCGCCGAGACTTGACAATAGCCGCCCACATCGCGTCCCTCATGAGCTGCCATTTTTCCAAATCGACATCGGTTGCTTCACTGTTCGTCGTCGGGTGTATTGTCGGACCTACAACCGCCGGAAGACACCCGATAGTCGACTCGCGGCTCGAATCGCCGCCTCATTATCTACGGGTTGGATGATGAAGTCATGTCGCGTCGCCACCAGTTTTAGATCCCCAAATTCGAGTCACCGCCGCCATAATTCTTCAATTGTCTTCAAGAGGAGAGATATGTCTTTGCAAGAATCAGTAATGAAAAGAAAAACTGGGTATGTATTTTGGTTTATGGTGGTCTGTGTATTTTAGTGTGTGATGACTACAATTGGGAAAAGAAACCTGAAGAGATAAGAGAGAAAAAGAGGTTTAATTTGTGGAATATAAAAATAGTAAATGACGTATTACTGGAAGGATCGATATCAAAACGGAATGAAAACCTTGATATCGTTATTCTGTCTGTAATAAAAATAGTTCCCGTCCATGGGGTAATTATTTCAAGAATCAGTGTTGTATATAAACATGGATTTTAGAGACCCCAAATTGCAGATTATTTGTCCGAATTCAGGCCATGCATAGTTTTGGGCTGGAAGTGATGAACTTACTCACCTTCTCGTCCAAGTTATATAAGAATACAATATTTGAGAAGGCCCAAAGATGTAGTTCAGCCCATAAATAAGTCAGTTATATGTTGAGGAAATTGCACCACATACTAACTCATTCAAAATATATAACAATTTTACACCCATTAAAGTCTTATTTTTAAAATTACCTAAAAACGTTTAAAATATTTTTAATTATACCTAAACTTGTAACCGTTATTAACTCCTTTTTAATGGAAATAAGATATTTAAGTGAGATAAAATATGCACTTACCTAAAAATGTGGAAAAAAAAAATTAAATTGATTATCCCAAATTAATAGGATCTATAATTATCACACTTTCTCTCTCTCCTTCTCTCTATTCGTTCTTCTTCTCTCTCCATCTCATCTCCTTCTTCTTCTTCTACAATTCCTCTAACACCAATTTCTTCAGAGGCAATATAATGAAATCTCCACCTTCGCTCTCCATACTAATTCATTCGGTTTTGCAGAGTAAAAATAAAATCAATTAAATAATAACTACACACTTATGTGTTTCGTGCCCCACAAAACTGGTTGGAACTAACCTGATTAATTCAGATTGAGAGGTTATAACACAAAAAAAAATGGAGCAAGGGGTTGCTTGGCCGGCAGCAGACACGGGCATAGATTATTGGGAACGCCGGTGATCTTTGAGAAGTGAAGCCGTGAAGGGCAGTTGACCCGACCCGGTAAGGAAAGAAGAAAATTGATGGGTCGCTTGATAGAAGAGCTCTGGGTCGTGGTTTGTTCTTTTCTTTAGAGGAAATTGCATCATACTATGTATACATTTGGTATATGTGTAGTTTATATTTAATATATTTTTGCTATATGTATTGTTTATATTTTGTAAAATCATGGAAAACATATACGATACATATACCTCATTACAGTTTATATGTATCGTTCTCCTGTTATATCTTCAGTACATCTTCGGTATACGGTTGTATGGTTTATGTTCAGTAAAATTATGGAAAACATATACGATACATATACCATCATTACAGTTTGTATGGTTTATATTCAGTATATTTTTGGTATATGTACGGTTTATATTTAGTAATATCATGGAAAATATATACAATACATATACCATTATTACGGTTTGTATTGTAAGTATATATACCGATATTATATTTTATATATTCATTATATATACCATGATTATGTTTTATATTCACTATAATCACTGAAATATATACAACACATACACTAAAATTTTAATGGTATATTTTATATATATATATATATTAAACATATACTGAATATATACTAACATAAACGCAACATATACTCATCCCTAGACACCTGCGTAAATTACAATACATTTTTTTTTTTGGTATTTGTAATGGAATATACACGACAATTAAGGGTGAAGCATTTTATTTGTATGGTTTTTCGGTATATTCTCAAAAGAGGAATATTAAAAAAAACGATCAAAATAAACTATATATATACCATTAAAAAAAATTTACATATACCATTTAAAAAATTGAAAAACCCATTTAATGAATTATGCAAGATAAAACAAAAATATAAAAACTGGGAGGAATTTGATTTCACAAGTAAACTTAATTAGTTAGGAATTTAGTTGGCAAGACATAGAACTCACGCATGCGGGAATCACGCCAATAAGTAACAGAATTTTAGCATTATTTTATTGTTAGGTACATACACAATTATTTATATTTAGATGGTATATGTGTAATATTTTTACTTTCATGTAGCATAAGTGATAATTTCCCTTATATGTTCACTCTTACATAGCTAACTTGTTG